TCACTACTGTAGGCCTCTTCCTGAAATCAGCTGGTATTGAGTATTATGCATAGCAAAATACAATTATTAGATTATTAAACAAGATCTCCTGGATGTGACCTGTCCCTTGGAACCCCTGCCAAAGTGGACCTTTCCGCTAAGCTCCGCCCCTTGGATATTGTTGCTAAGGTCCCACAAAACAGTAGTTTATATTTTTGCGCAAATGTACACAAACACATGCGTTTGTTGGACAACACATGTGCTTGTTGTTAAATTCGATTGACAAGAAAGCTTGTGAACAACGTAGAAGTACAGTAGTTAAACTAAAAATGTTGACATTTTTATATAATGTAACTAATATTTATACTGGTATATACAAATATTGTTTGTGTATAGACAATTAATGTTGGTAGGACTTTATTAATAATGATAGTAAAGATAGGTAATTGTTATAGCATTGTTGTTATGTAAATAATTGCAGCTTATGCCCGAATCTCTACTGGTTTTTTTTTTTTGTTTTTTTTTTCTTTTTTTTTGGTTTGTTCGATAAGTTATTTGAAGTCTGAAGTTACAGACTTACTGTATGCTATCTTAGCTTTCTCTACCTACTACAAATAATAATAGTGTGGTGGTTCATTTGTTTGTTTCGCATTCACAATACTGTACTTGAATAAAAAGGTGAAAAAGACAACAGAAAAAATGAGAAAAACTTATTTGAATGTGTTGATGTCCTACTAAGCGTGAAAATCACCAGAACTACAGCGAATTCTCTACTCTTTCTGCCGACGCTGTGCCTTGACTTAAACCGACCTATGGAATTTCATTATGTAGGCCTCTTTTTTATACAATTCTCAATTGTTTTAAACACGAAACCTTGAGTTTATTAATGTCTTGGTTTTGAAATTCTATCTGTTGTAAGCCTACTTACAAAGTATGGTGGTAGTAGTGATGATGAGGATGGTAATGATATGATAATGATGATGGTACAGTATTTTTAGGGCTATTGTTACCTCGAAAGAGCATCTAGCTCAGTCGGCTTAACTGGTGGTATTAATGTGTATGTACTAAACCCCAGAAGTCTTTCCCTAGGTCCCAGGTTCTGTTCTATTCTTGCTCGCCTTGGTTTCAGCTGCAGTGCTGTAGAAATGCAAGTTTCAATAGCGCACCGTCTTTCGGATGAGATGTTTGTTTTCCGTTGGTTCCCGTTTGCAATATAAACACCGTACACTCTTCGGAGATAGAAGGGGATTGTCTACCTCAGTGGCGTATCTAAGGGCCCAAGAAATAAATCCCCAGTCTTCTCTATTGAAGACGTTTAAAAAAAAATAGCCTAAAGTATGGTAGTTAAAAATTACCTTAAATCACATTATTTTGCGAGCTAAAACCCCTCACATAATCATTGAGTGCCCACCACCTCCAAATCAGCCCACTTACAAATAGGTTAACACCTTTATTTGTTGATACAAGGTAAAGGTTAGTAGGTGTGGCATTTTAAAAACCATACGCTTTACCATGTTTTCTTGGGTAGTGGATTTAAACAATTAATTTTTATTTCTATCAAAGTGTATAGCCATGGACCTATTAATAAGAATGCCAAGTGGTAAAATTGTTTTTCTAAGTGACGATCGAGGCAAATCCTGTACAAACTGCATTAACTTATTCCTCCGTGGTGATACACTGAAAGCTTGTATTGTACTCTTATATGCTTCGATGAACTTCAATAAATAAGAGAAGGCGGAAAATACAAATACTATTGTTTCCTGGGTAACATGACGTTACCATTTTCAAACCGGGGAAAATACATTATATGCGTATATCTTAAGTGTATTGATATTCTTAATTAAAATATTTTGTAACAGCCAATTTAAAGACTCTAGATTTTTTACATTGTTAATAATGTGTTGTATTACATAATACATATTTTAATGAGCATGTTAAATTATAAATGTACATAAAACCCCTACTTTTAACGATCTCCCACATAGACCTTGTAGAATCAACATGGCTAGCGCAACGTAAACTAAACATGACATAGGTCTAATTTTAATTCAAGTCTAGGTTTAATTAACATTTTGACATATAAAGTAACCTAAAGGCACATAATGTAAGTATATTTGTAGACTTTAAAATTATTTTATATTTAATACGGTATGCTTGTGCAGATAGGCCTACACCACTCTTATGTAGGCTTTGTGCTTGGATACATTCCAATATCACAAGACAAAACCAATCTTCTAATACCGGGGGTATTTCCTATGCTTATACACTCGTGTCTTGGTTAACCATGGAGGAATTAGTGGCGGCGCTACGGGGTGGGGGAGGGGCTAGGGGACATAGGCCCCTCCCCCGTCGAGGAGAATAACCACAATTCGTCGGAGAGAAAAAAATGTATATTCTACATATTAATAGACTCTGAAATCGATTAAATAAGCCTTCGAAATCCCAAAATTGTCATACAAAGATTTTGAGCGATGCCCGACCACATTCACTTTGTTCTCGTCGGGGACAACAGCCCTCCGTCGGGGACTTGGACCCCCGTAGGGGAAATCCTGGTGCCGACCCTGGGTTGACTCATATTATATTTGCTCAAAATTCATTAAAAATAATTATTTTACAAATGCATATGATTTATTGAAATAACATTTTTTTCATTTCCATACAGTATGGGATGTTCCTCGTCAGTCTCGACTAATGAAAGCAATGAGGCCGAATCCAAAACAAACTATACAATCGCCGTTAAAACGGGAGATCGTAAGGGATCGGGAACGAATGCAAATGTCTACGTCATTCTCGTAAACACCGACGGCATACGGTCTGCCGAAATTCATCTTGACTGCATCTGGCGTGACGACTTCGAATCAGGAAGCACAGACACATTTCCTGTTGACGATATCGCCAACTTCGGGGAAATCGAAGAACTGGAGCTGTGGCATAACGGAGACGATCCATGGTACGTTGAGTGGGTTGAAGTGCGCGACAACATATCTAGGAATGTTTATGTATTTCCGATACATCGTTGGGTGACATCGGATCGCAGATTGAAAATTCAACGGTACGACTGCATGCTGCCTCAGTTTGACAAATTCCCACAGCAACGGAAGTCGGAACTTGAAATAAAGAAAAAAACGTACGCTTTTGCGCAAAAGTCCAATGGGCTGCCATGCCAGGTATAGGCTTAGCTTATCTTTGGATGATGATGATGTTGATAATAATAATAATAATAATAATAATAATAATAATAATAATAATAATAATAATAATAATAATAAAGGTATAGGCTTAGCTTATCTTTGGATAATGATGATAATAATAATAATCAAAATAACAATAACGATGATGATGAAAATTATGTAATTGATGATGAAAATAATGATGATGATGATAATGATAATGATTATAATAATAAGATGATAATAACATGATGAAGATGATGGTAATACATCAATAATAACAACAATAACAACAACAATAATAATACTAATAATAATAATAATAATAATAATAATAATAATAATAATAATAAAATAATAATAATATGTAATAATAATAGTAAAAATGTTAAAAATTATAATGTAACAATAATAATAGTACCTGTCTCTTATACACATCTAGATGTGTATAAGAGACAGGTTACTCATCTTGGTTGCCAAGGGATACACTGTCACTCGGTGAGTTATTAATCATTTAGCTTATAGGCGAGCACAATTTTACCATAGAAATAAGCTACAATTGTAAATTTTCATTAGCAAGTACAGTACTTTTATCTCTTTCATTTAATATTTAAACTGCACACTAATTGTATTTTCTCATAATAAAAAAAATGTACCGTCTGTCATTATTTTAAAGTCATTTAAGGGGTCAAAACTTCCAATGAGACAGATGAAACTAGTCATTTTCACTAATATACTGACATTTAACGTTATTAACTACCAGCCAATTTGAATGAAGTGTTATAAGCGAGAAATTTAATTTTCATTCCGTTTAATGTAATGTGTTGTAATATCTAAATATTATTTTGTTGTTGAAGTGCCCGTCTGAGGTCAGTTACCAGCATTAAGATCGGCGTTTTCACATGCTGCTACTTCTTCATCTACTTTGGACTTTACGCCCTGCAAGAAGTACTGTACGACCCACGAGATGTTGTCAACAAATACGACTCATTTGCCGGACTTGGACTTGTCATCATGCATGTCATTGGTAAGTTAGCGGAGCACAAATTGCCAATCCGTGAGCATTAAAAACGACGCCCGTCTGCTGATTGTCAGAGTACAGTTGGTTAGCGAATTGTCGTTGAAAACGCGTCGTATTGCGTTTGCATGCCTCCGCCCGGCTGCTGTTCGGCGTAAGTTATAGCATTTATGATGATGATAATGATGATGATGATGAAGATAATAAAGATAAAAATAGCGATAAAAGTGATAATATAGTCTTAATGTTTTTTATTACTATTTTCAGGTTAAAGAATGCCCGGAAGATGAATGTTTTTCCAATGATTATAAGGTGAGTACAATAATATGTTTAATAAATAATCGGGTATTCCCAACAAAACTGACTTGAATTCGCATACTTTGAAGTGCACATGCGTAATTATGTATTTCATTTTTTACTATCGTTACTTTGTTCATGGCTTGAAGTTGACCGATTCCCTAATTGTTTTCGTCTTATGCACATTTATATATATATTTGTATTAATTTTTTGTAGGCCCTACTGTTAATATTATTCATTTAAATTTGGACTGGTAATCAAATGGGCCTCGCGTTGGTACTCTACTCCAGTCCTTTCACATTTTTCCATTTAAAACAAAACTAATTTTGTTGTTTTTCTTTTTTTTTATGTCTAATGTAGACCTTCGGTCTAATAAAATTACATTAATACACTTTAATCGACGTGCGCGCGTTGTAGTATCACGTACTTTAGACCAAGTATGAAATAAAACGTATTCATTCTGTTGACAGTGGGATATTCTGGTAAACAAAGCTAAACTGCTGCTTGAAGCAAAATTCGTCAATATTACAACATCATCTTGGGATAGCCTCGACGATCTCGGTAATGTTTACAACAAAACACTTCCCCAGCCTTTGGTAAGTAGGCCTACAGCACTGTCATTATTCATACTTCCAAAAAAAACCTTTTATCATTATGTATTAGTATACCAGCCTTATAGTCTTATCAACTCCTTTGCATTATGTAAGACTATGCTAGGCATAATTACATTATGATAGTGAAATAATATAATGATAATTACATTATCATTATTATTTTGCTATCATTATTTTAATTGTTAATATTGTTGTTACTGCTATATCATTATTATTATCATTAACATTATTACTATTATTATTGGTATAGTTATTATTCTCATAATATATATTTAAACAAATGGTTTCGTGTTCTCTTCACAGGGAATGCACAACTGGAAATCTGATTTGGAATTTGGAATGCAACGTTTAACGGGATGCAACCCGACACTGATTAAGTTATGCACACATATTCCTGAAAAGTAAAAATATTTTAAATAATAATAGGCTTACATATTATTTATCATGTAGGGGCCTATCCTAACTGGAAATCCCATCCACTTAATATATTATTAATATTCAAAATCCTATCACTAAAACACTATTTCTTAAGTTGTTCGTTCAATTATAATATTATCAGGGGTGGCGCCGGCATAATTTGCTAAAAGCATAATTTTTCTCGGGGAGAAAAAATAAAAATTATATGTATTTTCTACATATTAGGACTAGTAGACTATAAAATCGATTAAATAAGCCCCTGAAACCCCTAAATTGTCAAAATTTTCGGAGGCTTCGCCAATAGGACTACTTTCGAAAACTGTTAATCGAAGCTCGACCACGCCCACTTTGTTATCGTCGGGGAAATCTGACCCCTCGTCGGGGCATTAGCCCCCCTCGTCGGAGACCTCGCCCCCCCCCCCCTTCCCGTCGGGCAAATCCTGGCGCCACCCCTGAATATTATTAGGCTTACGATATTAAAACATGGAATAGGAAACAATAAAATTTAATTTTTATGCAATACTTAGGTTTGGTGTTACGAATGAGATGATCAGTCCGCTACTTGAAGGTTTGACAATGGAAGAGGCTATTTTAAAGAAAACTCTCTACATAGTAGATATAACAGAAACCAAGGATCTTCCCTGTACCGATAATCGAAAGGTAAACATTCTTAATAGGCCTAATAAGTTGAACAATTTTCATTAAAAACATGGCAATTTAGTAAAAGTGTTTTATAAATAGGGCGATTTATTTCCCTTAAGGATTGGATTTGAATAGCTTGGTAGTTAAGATGCTTGCCCTCCAACCTCGGTCCTGGGTTCAATTCCTGTCAGTGTTGCAGGATGTTTTCTCACGATCAAAACAACTCCACTCCCTAAACCTCATATTGAGAGTTAGTTTGTTTAAAATATCGTGTGTGTATTGTTTTGTAAAAGGGATTGTCACCTACAAGTAGGACAGTGATATCTGTAGTGGACTAATTAATATGGGGCCCGGCCTCCCCCCACCCTCAATTTTTTTTTTATTGTAAAAAAATGGAGAAAAAAATAATAAGTCTGAGAGTGATATTTCAAGCCATTTAAAGGTGCCATAATCGTATTGTTTTTTGACCTCAGCCCAAAACCCATGGTGGGGCTAAAGTGGTATAGATCGAAGTCCCTCACTGGGCCCCCTCTATTTCAAATTCCTGAATGCGCCACTGGATATACTCGTAATTGACAATCCTTGGTGCATGTGCCGTGCCTAAAATAAATAAAATTTTAAAAATATCATTTTTCACAACTCGTTTATTCTGTTTCTTATATAGATATGCAGTCCCATTGCCTTGTTTTTTGTCAACAAGGAAAAGAAACTGTTGCCGATTGCAATTCAACTTCACCAGGACAAAGCAGATGACAACCCGGTAAAATGATATTTGCCTAATTAAAAGCAATTTAGTGTAGACCTTGGATTGGTTTGAATTGGATTTATTCGGTATGAACACCAAGGAGAGCCCACGAAAGTCTAGAAGAAGACTTATTTCCAATGGAGTCCTTCTGCTGGCGATTGGGCAGTACACCGAGAGACAATCTCCTACTTTTTCCGAAGAGTGTACTGCGTTTTTTAACGTACACATGGGTCATTATGCGCACGGGACCAACGGCTTTAAACGTCTCATCCGAAAGTCGGTGCCCTATTGTAACTTGTATTTCAGGCCTCCAGCTGAAACACAAGGAGAGTCAGTGATGGGAATTGAACCGGGAACCTAGAGCTCTCCACGGTTCAGTGCACACACAGTGGCTACCACCAGTTAGCCGACTGAGCTAAGCTGCTCCCTCACTTGTCGTACTTAACAACTGACATGCAGTAAGAACGTGTTACGTAATAGGCGGGCCTGGTATATGCACATAGCCAGTACACACTGCATATTTAGGCCTAGAAACCAAAACCAATTTGGGAAGCTATTAACAGTATATTTTTATTGAATCTCGAAATCTGGAGTCTGAGAATTTTAAAATCCAAAAATACATTTTCAGTATTAATTTATTCTGGTTTTGACATTTGTTCTTTTTTCTCTATAGGTGTTCCTTCCAACAGATAATGAATACACCTGGATGTTTGCAAAGATGTGGTACAACAACGCAGACGCGTCGTACCACCAATCTACAACTCATTTAGGGTTTACACATCTCCTAATGGAAAGTGTAGCCGTAGCGACCCACAGTAGTCTCTCGCCATCACATCCACTGTTTCGCCTTTTGGCACCACACTTTTTGTATCTCATTGCTATAAACAGGTACGCTCGAGTGTATGTATGTATGTATGTATATATATATATATATATATATATATATATATACATATATATAGGCCTATATATATATTATATATTATGTTATTATTATCATTATTATTATCAATTATTATTACTATTATTATTATCATTATTACTATTATTATTACCCAGTCAGCAGCATGCTGACTGGGTTCTGTTCTGAGCAGTTTCTTCTTTCTTTCTTTCTTTCTGGCAACATTTTAAAAGGCTACTAGTGGCAAACTACTGGACCGATTTAACTAAAACTTGGTCAGTAGGACCGGTGCCACCTCCCATTTATGTGTTGTTCACAACTTGAGGTCAAAGGTCAAATAAGGGGCATTAGGGTCAAAAAACCAAAAATATACATTGGCACAAGGCAGGGTCTATAGGGTGTTCAGGGATAAGGGGTCAAAGGTCATTAAAGGGTAATTTTTATATTTTTTTGGCAACATTTCAAAACGCTACTAGTGTCAAACGGTTGTGCCGATTTCAACCAAACCTGGTTAGTACAATCGGTGACACCTGTCATACATGGGGTGTTCACTGCTTGGGGTCAAAGGTCACATAGGGGTCATTAGGGTAAAAAACATTTAAAAAAAATAAATAAAAGACTTCTGTCACAAATAACATAGAACATTCTTGTCCTGGGCACATATGTATTGGCATAAGGTAGGGTCGTTACATGGTGTTCAGCAATTTACGGTCAAAGGTCATTATAAAGAGTTATTCTTTTGTTCTCTCTAGTAATATTTGAAAATGCTACTAATGGCATTCGACCAAATTCAATCAAATTTCGTCATTAAGAACCGGTGACACCTCCTACACCCCAGTCTGGGATCAGGTGTCACATGGGGGTCATCGGGGTTAAATTTTCAAAATAGCCCAATTGAGCTCAAATTTACCAGGAATGATCCTTAGGACCTTCTAAACACGAAAAAATACTCTTCACCCCATATGTCAAAGTTCATAGGTTCAAAATGTTACTAATGCAAACGAATAAACCGAATTCAATCAAATTTGATCATTAAGAACCAGTGACACCTCATACACCCCTGTCTGTCATCAGTGGTTACATGGGGGTCATCGGGGTCAAATTTTCAAAATAGCCCAATTGAGCTTGAATTTACCAGGAATGATCATTAGGGCCTTCTAAACATGAACAACTACTCTTCATCTATCGTTAAAAATTCACAAGAGTTACTATAGTGAAAATTATCACATATTGCTAGTGACTAAGGATTGGACCAGTTGCATTAGAATATGGGGTGTTCACAGGTTGAGGTTAAAGGTCACAGTGGTTATCTCTTAAAAAATGACTGGGTTCATGTTCTATTGCGATAGTATCTCTAGTTATTATTATTATTATTATTATTATTATTATTATTATTATTATTATTATTATTATTATTATTATTATCTTTAGCCGTGCATTAGCGAAGCTTGTCTGCGAAGGAGGCTGGGTGGATAAATGTATGTTGATTGGTCGAATTGGTATGTTTGAGATTATGAAGCGATGCTGGAGCTCATGGCGACTAGATGTCACAGGAACTCTCCCAAAAGAGCTAGAGTCTCGAGGTGTTGACGATCCGGAATTACTGCCCAACTATTACTATAGAGACGATGCATTGTTGCTATGGGACGCTATTTCAAAATACGTAAGAACAGTCGTAAACGCCCACTACGGTAAGAACAGTATTCAGTATATAAAGTATTTTTATTGTCATTTCTTTATTATCATTATTGCATGAAAGCAAACAGAAAAAAAAATAATAATATTGATTAGCATGAATCTGAACACATCAATCCTCAGACACACCAGAAAAAATATTGAATGATTACGAGTTACAAGAGTGGCATACGATGCTGTTGTCCCCAGTCGGTGAAGGAGGGTGCGGCATCCAAGGCATACCAGGAGATGGATCCTTCAAGACTTCGGAAGAAATCGCACAAACTGTCACAGCAATGATTTTTGCCAGCAGCGTCTCACACGCCGCAGCCAACTTTTCACAGTACGATGAGTATGGTTTCCCACCGAATTACCCTTCATTCATTAAAGGCGAACCACCCACGAATAAGGTAATGGAATATACACATGGTTATATACACATTGTATATATTATATTATTTATATATTGAACGATAAAGATGAACCTGCGAGTGTGGAAAAAGTTACCAAAACAGAGATTTGAACACGGGATCTTCTGCTCTCTATGCAGACCTTACCCAACTATGCCACTAGGACATTAATAATTCAAATTCGATTAGAAGCAACTAGTTTTACACACAGTTATGTATAAATGAATTTGAATGAAATTTTTGTTATTCTTGGTAAATTTTTAACTTTTTAGTCTTTTCCAGTTGTTTTAATTTTTTTACGGCTTACTCCTTGTATTTTTTACTGTTATTTTTCTCTGTACTTGTTCCATTTTCCCATCTTTTTTTAGCCAGTTGTTTGTATGACCTGTAATGTGTATATTTTACCCTTTTTCATATTTGTATTTTAATCTATGACAAGCAAAGCAAATTTCAAGCCAATTTATGAGTTTGACCAATAAATTGGATTGGAATTGAATAAATACGTGCAAGAACACTAGTTCTCGACGCACTCGAATAACGAAGATAAAAAAATAGCACGCCTTCACAAGACAGGATCTCTAAAAATATATTTACTGTAACAAAGAGATAAACTCTGAACCGTCTGGCTGATATTTACTGTTAAAGACCATTTATTATTCATTTTCAGGATCCGAAAACAGAGGCAGATGTTTTAAAATCTTTACCAGACAAAGAGCAAACATTGGACATAATGGTTGTTACAAAGCTTCTTAGTGATAGAGGAACTAACAGCTTGGCTGATTTTGAAGTAAATTATCAATTTGATCCGATTGGGATGAAAGCTGTTAAAGAGTAGGTTTCTGGTCATTGTCATATATAGGTCTACCCTTATTAAATTGGATTATATTATAGTTTTTAGTTTCATCCTCCTCTTTATCTTTACCCATCGAAATATTGCATTGCACTTAGTTTTTCTTTTAAATGTCTAAAATACAACACATTTCTGAAGTAAACTATCAGTTTGTTTAAATTGGGACGAGTAAATTTCTGCTCGTTGTCATATATAGGTCTACCCCTATTAAATTGGATTATATACATACATATATATATAATATATATGTATGCGTGTATGTATGTGTGTATGTATGCATGCATATATATATATATATATATATATATATATTTTGTTCTTTATATATTTA